TCTCTCTCTCTCTCTCTCTGCCTTCCCGATCTCTCTCCCCCTCCCTCCCTGTCTCCCTCCTGCTTCCTTCCCTCCCTTCTCTCTCTCTCTCTCCCTCTCTCCCTCTCTGTCTCTGTCTCTCTCTGTCTCTGTCCCCCCTCTCTCTCTTTCTGCTGTTTCCAGGAGTTATTTAGTTTATGAATGGTCCAGGGCCATCATGAGGGGGGTGGAGCTTCAGTTCCTACAATCGCTATCCAAGCTGTCAGTGCTTTAACCAATCCCAGAGAGAAGACAGGCATGCCTGGCAGACAGTAGCAGCCACCACTGCACTTGATAAAGAAAGGGGGCAAAACAGAAGTAGGAAAATAGAATAGATAGTAGAGTCAAACACTCATACACATTTTACAGCTCCCTCTTCTCTCTTATCAGTAACAAGAAAGAAAGAAAAAGAGTGTATATAGGAAGGACTTCTGGAGATGCTGGAATAACGGAGGGAGAGTAGCAGTGGTTCAGAAAGGTTCACTTTTTTGGGGGGGGGTATGGACATTGTGAAGAAGGTGTAAACTCGTAACAAAACTACTTTCTCTTGAAGGCAAATGGGAGGAGGAAGGAGTATTTGTGAAAAGACCTAAAATTGTCTAGATTTTGTCCTCATGCAAAGTCTTCCCCTCTTCCCTTCCCTCGCTTTGTGGCCAAGAGCCAGAGCAGTTTGTTGTATCTGTGCACCAGCGTGCATGTGTGCGATGTGCTTGTGTATTTGTGTATAAAGAGCAGGGTGGAGTGGATATGAGTGAGGATTTATGATCATAAATCTCTTTTCAGTAATTTCCATATGTGGTAGAAAATGGGGCTGGGTAAAAATATTGCAAGCACCTTATTTGATAATTGTTTCATAATTAAGGTCGAGATATACTTATTAATGCTAGTTATTACAGAGAAAGAAAAGTGAATTATAAAGTGTATTGTGCAAATTATATCTGCTTTTGTTTATGTAGACTTGTTGGGTATGCTTTTAAATTAAAATAAATCATTACAATTGTTTTAAGCTTAATAGAAATGAAAGGCAGTAAATCTGAACGTAAGTTCAAATTTTCTTAAAATGTATATGTTGTAAATCTAATTTTGACTATATTTTCAGGCAGTATGAATTGAATTTCACTTGTAAAATAGTTTTATTTTCATAATTGACTCTTGCTTTTAAAAGACTTCTCTGCTGCAAAAATCTATAACTATCCTGTTATTGATTACACAGATGGCTTCACTCCTCCCTTGGCATTTCAGTGAAACTCGTGCATGTGCTTTTAGTATATGTATTATCCTTTCAAGCTGTACCCACTGTAGCCCTGGGTAATTCTGGACGAAAGAAGCTCTTAACAGTGTTCCTGACTTACTTCCTGTTGAGGGTTTGTATTTGACCCTCAAGTATCTGCATTCTGAGTCTTTTTAAAGATAAACCAAGTAGAAGAGATTAGTTTTAGATTTGGAATGCTATATTCTGCAATAGTGCCTTCAACTTGGAATAAAAATCCGTGCCGTCTTTGGGCAAAGCTTTCAGTTTTTGTAAAATCTGGTATGGGGTAGGGGGAGGCAGGGGAGGATTTTCACTTTCTCTATTAAAACATGATCAGGTAAACTTAAATTCAGTTACATCCGGAAAGTTTCTCTCCATTTACTTGACTTCCGACATTTGGACTGCTTGGTTCTTTCTTGTCTAGCGCAGAAGGCTGGTACCTTGTCATACCTTCACTCATTGCCATAAATCACTCCCTTTCCAAAAATCACTTGGTCTTTTTTTCTTTTTAAAAGTCGGATTTATTGGTAAGGATCCTTCTTTACTGGCTCGGAATTGGTTAGAAGAGTGGAAAGCAAGCTTTCCTGAAACTCTTAAGAAGCAGATCTTAAGTCAACTTCTCTGCAGTGGCAGAGACTTGGTGCGGCTGCTGACTCCATGTTTTCAGGGGATTGCAACTTGGCTAGAGAGGATCCTCGGTGCCTTGGGTGTTTGTGCTTGCCGGCAGCCCAATTGCCAGTTGTAACCTGCCCAGAGGTCACAATGGCTGTTGCCCTGGGAAATATTATTGGGTAGGAGGGACACTTTGCTGCAGCGAGTTGTGTGACCAGCCCGCAGAGAATCGGTAACAGATTCTCCCGAGGGCAGTTTACTAGGCGGAGAGTGGTGGCCGCGTTCTAGGGAGCATTCCCTCCCAACCCAGTGGTGGCCATTCCTTCTGAGCCTCTGGTCGGTGAGCTGCCGAGACCTCCCCTGGACCTGCCCTGCTGCCGACCGGCGGGAGACACTCCTGTGAGGAGTGAATGTTTGCTAAAAGAGCCAGGGGTGACAGCAAGTTGCCCATCCTTGGTGCTGCGGTGTGCGCCTCCTGCCTCTGGATCAAGGTGGCACCCCTCGCCGTCCCTGGTCCTCGTCCACATGCATCCTCATTGTTTGGGTGGGCTGCCAGTCACTAGGATGTTCTTGGTGCCAAGCGCCTGACACCCCACTCCTCCTCTCCTCTTTGCGTGGTCAAGCACTAGTGAGTTTCTTTGCACTCCAGTCTCTGTGTTTCACCACTTTTACACACAGAGGCTGAGGAATGATAAAATGTTACAAATGTTTTGATTTAAAAACAATTCATTACCAATTTACCCTGTCTAAGGTAGATGCTCTAGTAAATAATAAATCAGTTAAACAAAGGCGACTTTAATTTATTGCCGGTGGTACTAATTAGAAACATCATTTGAGCAATAAACTTAAACACTTCCAGCAAATAACGCTCCCTCTTGCTAGCTCCCTTCCTCCCCCTCCCCCACCTCAACTCACACGGGCTGCCTTTGCTTAAGAGCTGCTTCAGCTGTGTGTTTGCGGATCCCCTCTTCCTCTGGTTGAATAATTGAAGGGGGAAACGGTATCCGAGGAGGCTGTAAATGAAGAGCCCCTGTCACCTCTGCTTTTATGTATGTTAGTATAGAAGTCCATCAGCAGCTCCTTGATGGCGTATTAAAATGAAGTGGCAACCCCTTCTACAGGAGATACTGTATTCTATTAAAGGAGACCAAGTGAGAGAAACTCTAGAGGCTAAAAGCCACTTCAAGTCTTCAGACCGATTGATCTGTATTCTCTTGTTATAATCCGTCTCATCATACTTGAGTTAATGAGGCAAAAGAGGGGGAGTGAAATCTGATGGTCCTTGACAAATTCATTAGGGAGGCTGCAGGACATTTTATTTGACTGTTAAACATCTTGTTTGTTTGGCTTAGGCAGTGCCAACATCAGCATGCTTCTGCCCAGGCTTGTGATGTTGGGCTGACTGCAGACATCCCTAAAGGGAGAAGGGGATCATTCAGAGTGTGATTTGAATTTTTTGTTTGGGTCCTCCATAACCTGCAGACTTCACCCTCACCTTTATGACATTAAGAACTTCTTGTGAGGATGTAGATGATAACACCAGGAAGAGCATGTTTTTGGTTACCGTAAACTAACATTTAATGCATGTTTAAAGTTTAATCTGAACTTTCCCATTTCCTTAAAAATCTGAGTCAAGTTATGGCAATGGCTATAGTAGTTTTGAGAAATATAAGTGTTTAAATTGCAGAAGTGTCATCAGAGCACACACTGCATTCTATTTTAACTTAACCATGGCTAGACTATTAATTATTAATTGAATTTCCTCTCGCAGTGAAACACTTATGTGTATAGACACTTAGAAATAAAAAATAACTATACAAATGAGATGTCTTACAAAGAAAACAGGCATATTTTAATTTGAGGGCCTTTTGTTTTTTAAATAGGAAGCAGAGCTGGGTAGTTTTTAAATGGTATTCATCAAGTGATGAGTTGATAGAATATTTGAAAAATGAAAATATTTCTAATTGAGGAGTAATGAACAATCAAGCTAGAGTGCTAATCTTATTCTAATATAATAACATAGTATTTAATTTTTGCAAAAAACTTTCATGAAAAGAAAGGAGCATTTCAGCTATGGAACATTTCAACTAGCTTGCGTAGAGAATATTCAGTCAGCTTTCCCTTCAACAATTGACTTAAACAGCCTTGGCTTAAGTGCTTTGAGAAAGAGCTCTGTCTTCCATTTATAGAGAAGCAGTATGAGGAAAAAAAGAAAATGAATGCTCTTTGCCTGTCATTTCTGTACATTCTTGCACTGCTCATGAAGCTTGAACTGCTGCAGGGAACGTAAGGATTTGAAAAGAAATGATTCAGTAGTTCATGTTGTGTTTCTCACAAGCAAAACCAAACTAATGACTGAAGTCAGTGCTTCTATACATCTGACAGTTATAATCCTGTTTACATTTCTAGAGAATACAGAACCCTTAAATGGTTTCATTTTTTTTTGCTGATCTTTATTTCAAAATGTGTTTATTGAGTATTTAGTATTCCTTTTACGTTATCATATAACTGAGAGTGAAAAGACAGCCATTATTTTATTAGCTATAGAAATAGCATACAGTAGTCCAGTAACCTTTACTGAAGAGTTTATCGATTTTGGATTCTGTAATTTTATTTTCCAGGAAAACACTTCAAAAGTATTAAAAAATAATCAGATTATTCACTTAAAAGAGAACGTATCTGTAGGACTTTTTAGAAAACAAAAGGCCAGTCTTTTGTGGCCTTTTCCTCTAAAATCTAACTTTGAAACATGAGGGCTAATTTTTTTCTTCTTTTGTACTTAATTATTCAACATACTGATAAAATTGATTGTTTTTGAAGAAAATTCTTTTTATAGTCAAAATATAAATGGAGCAATATACACTTTTTAAATTCTCTGAATTTAAAATCTATTCCAGTAAAAACAGAAAGTAAACAACCCAAGCACAATTTGTTTGTATGAATTGATGAAATTTTATTGAAATAATT